ACTGAGACCTTAGTGTTCTGGTCTGTGCGTTGGGCTGTGCCCTGTGTCACCATCTCTCAAAAGCAGACCGGATGCCAGGGAGAGGGGTAATGGTTCGCTCCTGCAGCAGATACGGCGTCAGGACGGCACCAGGAGCCTGGCAGTGAGTGAGCCAGAGGCCGCCACGAAGCTTCCAGAACAGTGGTGAGGAGCGAGGAGATGGGAGCCGAGCTGTTGTGAGCCACCGGGCCCCCGGGCATTGGTTCTCTCCGGCAGCGTGAGTGCTGGGTTCGAATCTTGGCTGCACCACTTACTGATCTGGCGGCCTGGGGTCAGTTACTTAGCCCCTGCCCCAGTTTCTTCATCTCTGAACTGGAGAGAGGCTGTAACAGCTCATGGGATTGCCGAGAGGATAGGATAGGGGAACTCACGTGTGCCGATGCCCAGCCTGTGACACACGCTGTAGGGACGGGCAGGGGGTGCTTCCTGTCCTCATCCAAAGGCTCCCGAGACACGAGACACGGCCACGAGGGGAAAACGTACCAGACGCCTCGCATCAACATTGTAATGCGCAAGATGGCCGCCTGGGCTGAGCCTGCGGCCTTGGGCTTGGCTCCAGGAAGCTCGGGCAGCGTGGCCCTGACGCAAGGGTGGGGTCTGCAGAATGAGTGCGCTCTGAGTGTGCTGGTTACCCCGCAGGACCCGTGTGTCCAGATGCTGTGGCTCCTCCCTGTGGTGTTTCCTCCTCCTGGGCTGGGGCAGGACCTTTTAGCAGGTGGGGCTCTCACGGCCTACACGCCAGCGGGCGCAGAGAACCTCTTTGTGGCCCGTGTTACACAGAGAGGTGGGCAAAGTTCCAGGAATACTTTCAGGCTGCACGATTGCATTTGAAACGCCTTCTAATGTCTGACCGCCCTGGGGAAGAGGACTCCCCTAGTTTTATTGGTGGGGATTTACACCAGGAGGGCAGGAGAAGGTCAGAGAGAAAGAAGCCTTGCTTCTGAGCCCAAACTATCGAAGTGCGCTGGTTCCTCTCTGGGTGTGCTGGTTCCTCTCTAGGTGTGCTGGTTCCCCTCTAGGTGTGCTGGTTCCTCTAGGTGTGCTGGTTCCTCTCTAGGTGTGCTGGTTCCTCTAGGTGTGCTGGTTCCTCTAGGTGTGCTGGTTCCTCTCTAGGTGTGCTGGTTCCCCTCTATGGTTCCTCTCTGGGTGTGCTGGTTCCTCTCTAGGTGTGTTGGTTCCTCTAGGTGTGCTGGTTCCTCTCTAGGTGTGCTGGTTCCTCTCTATGGTTCCTCTCTAGGTGTGCTGGTTCCTCTAGGTGTGCTGGTTCCTCTCTAGGTGTGCTAGTTCCCCTCTAGGTGTGCTGGTTCCCCTCTAGGTGTGCTGGTTCCTCTCTAGGTGTGCTCTGAGTGTGCCTGTGGCTTTCTTTAAAATAGTTGAATTTTCATAGTTTGCTGTCACTCCATGAAGCAGGGCCTCCATTGCTTATTCTTACTATAGTGAGATGAGGAGTATTTCTTATTTTTTATTTTATTATTTTTTTAAGATTTTATTTATTTATTTGACAGGTAGAATTACAGACAGTGAGAGGCAGAGAGAGAGAGAGAGAGGTCTTCCCATCTGTTGGTTCACTCCCCAAATGGCCATAATGGCCGGAGCTGCACCCATCTGAAGCCAGGAGCCAGGAGCTTCTTCCGGGTCTCCCACGTGGGTGCAGGGGCACAAGGACTCAGGCCATCTTCTACTGCTTTCCCAGGTCGTAGCAGAGAGCTGGATTGGAAGAGGAGCAGCTGGAACTTGAACCGGTGCCCATGTGGGATGCCAGCACCGCAGGTGGAGGATTAACCTACTGCGCCACGGCGCTGGCCTCATCTCATTTTTTATTAACCTGCACAGGGAGTCAGGTTAAATCAAATGTTTCCAGAATGCTAGTGGAGCTCAGATTTTCCACCCCAGCCCGTCCACCAGGGCAGTGTTCGCTTTTTATTTGCTTTTTTCAGCACTAGTAGGAATAAAGTCCAGCCACAGTGAGTCTGTTCAGAGCTGTGAACTTTTTCTCCCGGGCACACTAAGTAACAGTGTTGCTTCCTGAGCACCTGCAAGCAGGCCCCCCCCAGGGGGTTCCCCACTCCTCCTAGGCTGCGTGTGCCACAGGCTGGGTGCCAAGGCGGAGTAGCAACTCCCACACAGCAAGTGGAATTAAGTTGTGTGTTTTTAAAAAAGGTTACTTAGGAAACAGAGCAGCCGGCCAGCTAGTTCCATCTGCTAGTTCACTCCCTAAACACCTGGGGAGTTAACAGCTGGGTCTGGGCTGGTCAAAACCAGGAGCCAGGGCCGGCGCCGCGGCTCACTAGGCTAATCCTCCGCCTAGCGGCGCCGGCACACCTGGTTCTAGTCCCGGTTGGGGCGCCGGATTCTGTCCCGGTTGCCCCTCTTCCAGGCCAGCTCTCTGCTGTGGCCCAGGAGTGCAGTGGAGGATGGCCCAGGTGCTTGGGCCCTGCACCCCATGGGGGACCAGGAGAAGAACCTGGCTCCTGCCATCGGATCAGCGCGGTGCGCCGGCCATTGGAGGGTGAACCAACGGCAAAAGGAAGACCTTTCTCTCTCTCTCTTTCTCTCTCTCTCTCTCTCTCTCTCACTGTCCACTCTGCCTGTCAAAAAAATTAAAAAAAAAAAAAAAAAAAACAAACCAGGAGCCAGGAACTTACCGGGTCTCCGTGTGGGTGGCAGGGACCAGCTCTGAGCCACCGCCCGTGCCTCGCCAGAGGCAGAGGCAGGCACTGAACCGGGCGCTGCAGCGTGGGACACAGGCGTTGTCGGCGACCGTGACTGCTGGGCCGACGCTGATGGAGCTGGGTTTCAGCCCAGGACGGGGTCCCCGCAGCCCTCGGCCAGGCCCCGGGCTGTGGTGGCGCGTGGTGGGGTGCAGTTGTGTTGGAATGGGACGCGCTGCTCGGCTGCCCTCTGCCCAGGGCAGCGTCAGAGCGCCGTCAAGGCCAGCTTCGGAGGCCACTGTCGCGCCGTCTTCAGAGGTGAGGTGTCACGGAGCAGCCAGGGTGGGCTGCTGACTGCTTCCGGGAGCTGACCGCTGTCCTGTGGGAGAGGTCTGAGAGACCGAATGACAGCCCTGGTTTGTGGGCACGCGCGTTCCCTCGCCACAGGCCTGGGACTGGGCCCTGCGGGGGTCCCTGTTTCCGCTTCACAGCTGGGGGTTGGGGAACCCAGCCAGGCTGTCAGAGCTCAAGGCAAGGACTCACTCCTGGGGCTTGCGGCGCTGAGCCCCATGCTCTCCTCCGCGCCCCGTCACCACCTGTTCTCCGCGGCCCTCAGTGGCCCGGGGAAGCCCCTGTGCCTTCTGCTCGGCGGGAGGAGGGCCCCCTGCCAGCTGCTTCCCGGGTGAGGGTCCCTTAGAGGGTGCTGGCACCCACAGCTTCTCCCTGTGACAACACAGCAGGACACACTGTTCTGCTTGAAGAACTGAGCCGGAGGCATTGCCGCGTGGGAAGAGCAGCGAGCCCCCTTCCTGCTTGCGCAGCCCTGCCTCCGCGGAGTTGGTACGGCCCCTCCGTCCCGGCGGCCAGCGGAGGGAGGGTGACCAGCAGCCGTGCCCGCTCTGCCCGTCCGCACAAAACTCAACTTTCCTCTCTGGCCCTGCTTGGATTTGACGTCAGAGTGTACTTGGCCACGTGATTTCTCCCAGTTGACTGGAAGGTAGAGAGAGCAAGCACTCCAAGCTTGTGAACTCTGGTTAGGGAGAAACTTGGTGGACTTGACAGTGACCCTTAGCTGAATTTCTGGAGTAGTCACAAGCACTTTTTTCTCCGGGAGGCGGGGAGACGCAGGCCCAGCAAGAGCAGGACGCAGGCAGTGCCGAGGTGTGACCCAGAGGGAGGAGGAATGTCACTTCTGGCTGATAGCAGCCCATCCGGGGCCTGAGCGTGCACCGCTTGGCCCTTTAGTCAGCCCGTGTCCAGGGTGTGGGCTGCAGAGGGACCAGCACTTCGAGAGCAGCATTCAGGTCGGAACCCCCGCCGGCCCTTACCTGGGCAGGCCTGGGCTCTGAGCACGGGAAGTAGGCTCCCCCGGGCTGACTCCGCGGAGCAGGGAGCAGGGAGCAGGCGTGCTGGCTGCCCCTGGACACGCGCGGGAGGCTGGTCTGGGTGTGCTGCCCCTGGACACGCGCGGGAGGCTGGTCTGGGTGTGCTGCCCCTGGACACGTGCGGGAGGCTGGTCTGGGTGTGGTGCCCGTGGACACGTGCGGGAGGCTGGTCTGGGTGTGCTGCCCCTGGACACGCGCAGGAGGCTGGTCTGGGTGTGCTGCCCCTGGACACGTGTGGGAGGCTGGGCTCCGGGTGTGGTGCCCATGGACACGCCCGGGAGGCTGGGCTCCGGGTGTGGTGCCCGTGTGCTCCTTCAGGTGAGGGCAGACGCGGTGGTTTCACACACGACAGCCACTGTGCTGTTTCTCAGCCGTTCCCTCCTGTTTTCCCGGCGACAAGCACTGGTCAGGAGGGGCCCACCAGGCTCCCCGCCCCTCTCAAGTGAGGATTCGTAGGCGGGGCGCTGCCTGCTGTTTGCAGAGACAGAACGAGGGCTTGAGTCCGGGCGCTGGAGTGAGGAAGCAGCGTCGGGGGGGATTGCGCTATGTCCCCTTTCTGTCACCTCCCTCTGTGGGAAGTGAGCGAGGGAGCAGACGAGCCCGCCCGAGCCTTCTCTAGTGTCGCCGCAGGGACAGTGCGCTCTGCGAGCGAGCGGGGTCGCGGGCGTTCGGCTGCAGCGGGAAGCGGCATTGACAGTGACCCACGCTTGCTGTTCTCAGAGCTTAGTGGACGGGTTTCCCGCGTGCCTCCAGGCGGGTCGGGGACATGGACGCCTCCCCTGCCCGAGAGCACAGTGCTGGAGGCAGGGGCGTGGGCTGCTGGTCCGGGGAGCCCCCTGAACTTGTTGGGGATTTCCTTGCTGGGGGAGGGTTCGGGAGGCCCCGGATGGTGACGGCTGTGTCTCATCTTCACCCCAGGTGAGCGATGGCGGGCGCCGGGGAGCGCAAAGGCAAGAAGGATGACAACGGAATCGGCACGGCCATCGACTTTGTGCTGTCCAATGCCCGGCTGGTGCTGGGGGTGGGTGGAGCGGCCATGCTGGGCATCGCCACGCTGGCGGTGAAGCGGGTAAGTGTGCAGCCAGGGCCGGGGGTGGGCGGTGGGGGCCGCCCGGACAGGACTGTGGTATCTCGTGTAACCGGCATCTAAGCGTTATTAGACGAGACTTCAAGAGAATTCAGTCAATCCGCTTCTAGGACTGCACCTGAGCGAAGCCCTGGAGGGGTAGGCGTTCTGACGCGGTGGGCAGAGCTTGCGTGGGGATGCCTGCGTCCACCGACAGAGCGCGCCTCTGCTGCTTGTCCAGCTCCTTGCTCATGCGCCCGGGAAGGCTGCAGACGGTGGCCCTGGGACTTGGGCCCCTGCCACCCACGTGGGAAACCCAGAGGGAATTCCTGGCTCCTAGCTATGGCTTTGGCCTAGCCCAGTCTTGCTGTTGTGGGCATCTGGGCAAAGAACCAGCAAATGGACGATCTCTCTGTCTTTCTCTCCATAACTCTGCCTTTCAATCTTTTTTTTTTTTTTAAAGATATATTTATTTATTTGAAAGAGCTACACAGAGAGAGGAGAGGCAAAGAGAGAGAGAGATCAAACAAGTAATCTTAAAAAAAAATTATTGGAGATAGAAGTAGGTTTATCTCTGCAAATATAAAATTGCGCCCAAACTACCCTTCCTTGACTACCTTGCTTAAGACAGCATCGGCTAGCCACACACATAAGGGTGTTTCTGAGGGCTCCTGGCGCTGTCGGCACAGCCGTTGACACTGCATCCCCCCTGGCAGCGCCCATTCAAGTTCTGCTGCTCCACTTCTGCTCCAGCTTCCTGCTCCGGTGTCCTGGGACGCGGCGGGTAAGGGCACAAGTGCCTGGGCTCCTGCCACACTTCCGGGAGACCTGGATAGGGTACTGGACTCCGGCTTCGTTCCAGCCAAGCCTGGACTGTTGTGGGCATTTGGGGAAAGAACCAGTGGATGGATGATCTCTCTTGTCTCTTTCTCCTTCTGCCTTTCAAATTAAATGAAAGTAAATAAACATAAAAACAGAATAGTTGAACTTCCCAGGACGAAGCTGGGATGAGGGCGGTTGGAAGGACAGGTGCATGTCTCGTGTCCTGTCACTTCAGATGTACGACCGGGCCATCAGCGCCCCTACCAGCCCTACCCGCCTGAGCCACTCAGGGAAGAGGAGCTGGGAAGAACCAACCTGGATGGGGTCCCCGCGCCTGCTGAACCGGGACATGAAGACGGGCCTGAGCCGCTCCCTGCAAACCCTCCCCACGGACGCCGCGGCCTTCGACGCAGGTGAGGAGGCCGCACGTGCCCTTGGTGGTCCTCCTGTGTGCACAGCGTCTGCTGAGCACGCGTGTGCCAGCCCCCGGGCGGACCCGTGCCCTCTGTGTGGGGCCCTTTCCTGCCTGGGGCTGACGCAGCCGTGGACCAGGCAAGCGTGGGAAGCGCTCACATGCCTCTCTCTCTTGCCTTGGCAGATGCATTCTGCCCACCCCGGCCTAAGCCATTGGCCAGGAAGGGCCAGGTAGACTTGAAGAAGTCACGACTCCGCATGTCCCTGCAGGAGAAACTCCTTTCTTACTACCGGAACCGGGCAGCCATCCCTGCTGGCGAGCAGGCACGGGCCAAGCAAGCCGCCGTGGACATATGTGCCGAGCTGCGGGGCTTCCTGCGGGCCAAGTTGCCTGACATGCCGCTCCGGGACATGTACCTGAGTGGCAGCCTCTACGACGACCTGCAGGTAACCGGCGGCTCTCCGTGGAGGGCAGGGCTGGGCGCTGGCCAGAGGCTGCTCGTGGTGGTGCCGCGACAGGAGTCGCGTCCCAGCTCGGAGAGAGGCTGAGTTCCCTGTGTCCTGTCTGCCCTGCGCAGCGCTCGGACGTGCAGGCTGGCCGTCTGCTTCCACTCGCGGTCGTGCCCACGGCTTGTGAGAAGCTGCGAGAGGCCTCTCCTTCCCCAGTCCTGTCCCCGGCTCGCTCTGTGGGTTGACAGGGCCGCGGAAGAACTCTGGCCTGCCGTGCTGGGGGACCGCGGGGGTTGGGCAGCGTGTCCCGAGCAGAGCCCTCAGAGCCCCCGCTCGTCCCCGGCAGGTGGTGACCGCCGACCACATCCAGCTCATCGTGCCCCTCGTGCTGGAGCAGAACCTGTGGTCGTGCATCCCAGGCGAGGACACCATCATGAACGTCCCCGGCTTCTGCCTCGTCCGCCGTGAGAACCCCGAGTACTTTCCTCGCGGCAGCAGTTACTGGGACCGGTGCGTCGTGGGGGGCTACCTCTCGCCAAAGGCGGTGGCCGACACGTTTGAGAAGGTGGTGGCCGGCTCCATCAACTGGCCGGCCATAGGGTCCCTCTTGGACTATGTGATCCGACCGGCTCCACCTCCAGAGGCCCTGACGTTGGAGGTGCAGTACGAGCGTGACAAGCATCTCGTCATTGACTTCCTGCCGTCTGTGACCCTTGGCGACACTGTTCTGGTGGCCAGGCCACACCGGCTAGCCCAGCACGACAACCTGTGGCGGCTGAGCCTCCGTCCCGCCGAGACGGCGCGCCTGAGAGCTCTGGACCAGGCCGACGCGGGCTGCCGGGCCCTGTGCCTGAAGATTCTCAAGGCCATATGCAAGTGCACGCCCGCGCTGGGCCACCTCACTGCCAGCCAGCTCACCAACGTCATCCTCCACCTGGCCCAGGAGGAGGCCGACTGGTCTCCAGGGGCGCTGGCCGACCGCTTCCTGCAGGCGCTCAGGGGACTGATCAGCTACCTGGAGGCCGGCGTCCTGCCCAGTGCCCTCAACCCCAAGGTGAACTTGTTCTCGGAGCTCACCCCTGAGGAAATAGACGAATTGGGATACACTCTCTATTGCTCCTTGTCTGAGCCAGAGGTGCTGCTGCAGACGTAGGGCGGTGAAGGCCAAGGCAGGTGTCGGGCGGCCAGGCCCTGGCTGTCCCGCGCTTGGCTGCGTAGCTGGTACCTCGCCGGGCCCCCAGGGGCCTCCTGGCTGCTGCCGCCCACCTGGCCACTTCATGCTGATGGGAATGCCATCTCTGGTCTCCTCGTTTCAATCCTACCCTTTCTATTTTTGTTACCAAACACTGTGCTCCCTTGTTCCCCCCTTGCTGCAGGCAGATCTTTCTGGAATGAATTGAGAGGTAGAAGGCTGGCCTGAGCTGTTGAGACCACGGTGTTTTGTATGTGGGTCCAGGAGTCCTGTGTAGTCTGCCCTGCCCTGCCCTGCCCTGCGGCCGTTCCTGGTGGGTGCCCTGTCTCATTCATGCCTTTTGTTTCTTGTCGCTGACGCGTGTCCTGATCCAGACACTGCCTGTTGTTGGCTGTGGCTGTTTCCGAGCTGCGCTCCGCAGAGCAGGTGCTGGTGCAGTCTCTGGGGTCTCTGGGGGTCGAGGCTGGTGAAGAGTTGAACCTTGGTTCCTGGACAAGCCCATCCCCTCCCCTGGCTCCCGGGCACTTCTGACCATGCGGGCGCTGAGAACGGCTCGCCTGGGGCGCCGTGCTGACCCGTGGGAGCACTGAGTGCGGTTACTTGGGAGATGGTGGCGCTGAGCGGCCTTGCGTGAGGAGGCGGTGGAGGGTACGTGCCTATTGTGCGTGCGTCGTCCGTGGCTGCAGGAGTCGCACGGTCCCGGAGGGCAGCAGGCAGCTCCTCACCTTGAATGCTGTCTTTCGTCCCTTTTCTTTATTGCCAAGTAGGACAAGGCCTTGCAGGCACCCCGCGGAGAGCCGGGGGAGACGGACGGGAGGCTGACCGTCAGCCGGAAGTGGCAGGCCCCGCTGGGCTCGGGGGCCAGCCTTCCTCCTGCTGTGCCTGCCTGTGTAGCATGTTGCCTTAGAGTGGCCCGCACGCCTTCCCCAGTGTCTGCTGCGGGAACCGGGAGTGGGGGCAGAGGCCGAGGGACAGCTGCCTCTGTCCCCTGTGCCCACCCTGGGGAGGTGGTGCTCCCTGGAGGACAGCACGCGAGGGGTGGGCACTTGCACGTCCTGCTTTCCCGCTGCAGCCGCGCCATCTCCGACGGTGGGGACGTGTCGGACACTCCGTGCCGGCGCCCTCTCGTTCACGGTGTTTTCCCGTTTGTTGGCAAGAGGCTGACGGTGATTTCATTTCTGATCTGCCCATTCAGTGTTCTGCTTCCTGCCTGTCGTCAGTGAGACTGGCAGCTGTCCCTTCCTTCCCAGGGACGGCGCCGGCACCTCAGCTGCTCTCTGAGTGCAGGGTGGAGGTGCCGAGCCGCTGTGTCCTAGGTCAGGAGGTGGAAACCCCGGTGGCCTCCGCCGGAGGGCCCGCTGCTCTCCCGCGGGTAGGCAGGTCCCTGCAGGTGGCTCTGCTGTTTGGTTTGTGTGAAGCCCTGAGCGGATGAAGCACCGAAGCCGAGATCCTGAGTCTCACCCTGGCTGGCGCCGGACGCCAGCGCCTGCGGACCCGTCCCTGAGCTTCAGGGGCCCAGTGTGGTGTCCACGGGGGGAGGGGGGAGGGAGGCTGACCGTGTCGCCAGGCCATGTGTTGCTGTGTGTTGAGATGAAGGGTCTGGGTCCCCGGCCTCGAGCACCTGAAACGCGCGGGTTCCCGGGCTGGCCTCCTCCTGGCCCAGTCCACGTAGTAAACACTGCACAGCGCTCCACGGAGAAACGATCTGTAAGGGCCCGCCAAGACCGTGAGGAGGCCACGACGCCCGACCACACGGGGGGACGCGTGTGTCCTGAGAGGACCTCTGAACTCCCACAAAGCCTAACCGTTCCTTTGCCATCTTGTCAGCAGGAGCTTCCCGGGTGTCCTGGGCCCTGGAGCGTGGCGGTTCTCGGCCGTCCGGTGGGCGTCGGGCCGGGACCGGGCAGGCCCTGCTCTTGGCTGCAGGGGCTGGGCAGGTGCCCTGAGCTGCCGGGGCCGGGGGGCCGGGTGCCCTGAGCTGCCGGGGGAGGCTGGGCTGCCTTTGTTTTCTCACCCTGTGGGGAGAGGTGCTGTGACGCGTTCCCCCACGGTGCCTTTGTGGAGGTGCCCACGCCTTCCTGCTGCCCCTCCAGCCCGGCGCGTGCACCGCGGGGGTGAGCGGCCCACACCCTGCCGCCCGAGAAGCACACCTAGCGCTACCTTCAAGACCTCATCGATTCCAAGTTCAGTTTCCTTCTCCTGTCACTTCCCACAAAATGAGTTGAAGACAACAGTATTTTTCTCGATTTGCCTGGTTGTGACTTTTTAAAAATAAATGAAAGGAAAGACGTGTGGCAGCTGGTGTTTGGGAGCCTGGCGTCCACTGGCCTCAGTCTGAGCAAGTGTGGCGCCGCGCCCTCAGGGCACTCGGGGGCGGGTGGCTCTGGTGAGGGTCAAGCTCAGGACCCGGGGGCCCTGGGGAGGCGCCGCGGCGTCCTGGGGAGGGGCCTGGCGCGCCGCGCTCTGCCCTTTTGCCTGCAGTTTCAGGCCAAGGAGCGTGGAAAGAGCAGAGCCTGAGTCGTGCATGTGGCCTGGAGGCCACGGCCCGCGTAGACACTGCTTATGGGAGCGGCTGCTCCCATGATGGACACGCTGCGCTGGGCCCGCTTCCCCCGCTCCTGCCGCCGGCCGCCCGCAGAAGGCGGGCCCAGGTCTCCTGGAAGATGCGGATAATGGCACAGGGATCTTTTGTTAGAGTTGGTGCTGTGGCGTAGTAGGTAAACCTCTGCCTGTGGCACTGGCATCCCATGTGGCACCGCTTCGTGTCCCAGCTGCTCTGCCGCTGGCCTGGGAAAGCAGGAGATGCCCTTGCGCTCTGCACCCCGCGGGCGGCCCGGAGCTCCGGCCATTGAACTGGGGAGTGAACCAGCGGAGGGAGGAGCTCTCTCTGCCTCCCTGTGACTCTTACCTCTCAAATAAGTTTAAAAAATTTGCTTCTTTATTTGAAGGCAAAAATTAGGAGTTCTTCCATCTGGTTCGTTCCCCAGATGGCCAAGAGCTGGAACTCCGCCGGGTCGCCCACGTGGGCGCAGGGGCGCAAGCACGGCTTTCCCGGGCGCATCAGCAGGGAGCGGGCGGGACTCCCGGGATGGATGCGGGGTCGCGGTGGCGGCGCGGGAGTCCCACCCCCACCGCCTTCCTCCTGACCCCCGGGCAGAGTGCCGCGCCCTAGGCCTCGGCCGCCGGTCAGTTCCGGGAGGAGCCCCCTGAGGAAGCAGAGTGACCCCACAGGGGTAGCCGGGAGTGGGGACCCCGAGTTAGCGTGGCGGGAGCGCGTCCCGCGCGCGGGCCGGGCCCCAGCACGGCCAGTGTCCGCCAACAGACGGGGGCGCCGGGGCTGCCCGTGCACCCTGGGAAGGGTGGCCCTGGCCCCAGAGCAGGTTGTCTGTCCAGCCAGCAGCGCTCGCGGAAGGGACGCGGGAGTGGAGTTCTGCGGGCCGGGGCCCGGCTCCCGGGAACTCCTGTCCCCCGCAGGGCCGCCGGGCCTTGTCCGGAGCTCATGGGAACCACCCGGGGTCGCAGCGGGGCTGAGCCTGCAGAGGCCAGAGGCGTCCCCGCGTCCACGCAGCGACGCCCTGCAGCAGAAAGGGCGCCGCGGACACGCAGGCTGGCCAGCGGCTCGCGGAGGTCAGCGGGAGGACGCAGAGCCGGCCCCGGACGGCGGCAGGCTCCCCGGCCCCGAGGCCCGGGCCCGCTCGCGGCGGGCTCGCTCGGAGGCCGCTGGGCGCTGATTTCTACCGCTGCGGCCGCCGAGGCTACAACCAGAGGCACGGCTGCATGCCAGGCCGCTCCCGCCCTTTCCCGCGCAGACCCGGGCCCCTTCGCCGAGTGGCCCGCCCCCCTCGGGCCCTGAGCCAATAGGAGCTCAAGGTATATATGACTCCTCAGGCATGAGCCAATCATCTCGACGCGCGCTCCCCGCCAGCGTCTCGCGCGATAGCCGGGCGGCCTCGGCCTTCACAATAAAAAGCCTCCTTGGAATGAAAGGCTCTTCACGCCCCGCCCCTGAGAGAGATCCCTCCGCGCATCCGGGCATCCGGGGGGGAAAGGACGAGACTCTTTGATCTTGAACGCCTTGTAAAGTAGTGCGCCTTTTTCCCGACGTGAGATCTTGAAAGTAAACTACTTTTCTGTACATGGCTACGCCTCGGACATAAAAGCTCGGGGGAGGAAAGTGGTGGGGACGCCGGGGAGTGGGCAGGAGGCGCGGGTCACATGGCCGCGGCGGAAGGATGCGTCCTGTGATGCGGCTCGGAGGCGACCAAGTCTATAAAAGCCCGGCGGGCCGCGCGCCGCCGCCATTACCGCTGCGCCCGCCCGTCGATGTAGATCTCTTGCGAGCCGTGCCCTTCCTCCTCCCGTCCCGCAGGGCCGCGGCCACCATGGCGTATTAGAGGCAGCAGTGCCTGCGGCAGCGTTGGCCTTTGCAGCGGCGGCAGCAGCACCAGGCTCTGCAGCGGCAACCCCCAGCGGCTTAAGCCATGGCGTGAGTACCGGGCCGGGCGAGGGGGCCGGGGCCCGGCGTCTGCGGGCCCTGGGCCTGGGCTTGGGCGCGGCCTGCGGCCGGGGGTCGGGGCCGCGTCGCCGAGGCGGAAGCGGTTTTACGAGCGCCGGGGACGCGTGGTTCCTGCTTGCGTGTCCTTGGGCGGGGTCGGGAGAGCGCGGCCCGGCGCCCGCGTCCCCGGGGAGGTGGGGGCGCGCTGTCCTCGGAGCCCCGGCCCCCGCTCTGCGCCGGCGGGGGTCGCGGTGGCCGCCCCGCGAAACGTGGCGGCGGCCAAGATGGCGGCGGGAGGCGGCGCGGGGTGAGTCACGGGGCGGGGCCGGGCGGGCGGGCCGGGCGCCGGCCCCGGCGGGGGCGGCCATGGCCGCTGTGCACCTGCCGCCCGGCCGGCCCCCGCCCTGATGGCGCCCCTGCCGCTCGCCCGCAGGCTCCTCACGGCACCCAGCAGCAGCGTTGCTGTCACGGACAGAGACACCTTCGAGCTGAGCCCCTGCCCCGGTTCCAGCGCAGCCCCGCGACACGGCCGACATGAGCTTCCTGCACAGCGCGGGGTTGGCGGGGGACTTGGCGTCCCCCTTCGACCAGGCGGCTTTGGGGGCTGAGGAGGGCCTGGGGCTCCTGGACGACTACCTGGAGGTGGCCACGCCCTGGAAGCCTCCCGGGCCCCCCGGCGACAAGGCTGCGGCGGGCTCCTCGGAATGGCTGGCGGCGGACGGGCTGCTGGGCGCCCCCGCCGACGGCAAGGGTGAGCGCCGCGGGGGGTGGGGGTGGGAGGGGGCGCCCGTGTCGGGGGGGGGGCGCCGGCCTCACGCGCCCTCGCTCGCGCCCCCGCAGAGGACGCCTTCTCCGGGACGGACTGGATGTTGGAGAAAGTGGACCTCAAGGAGTTCGACTTCGACGCCCTGCTGAGCTTGGACGACCTGGAGGCCGTGCCCGACGAGCTGCTGGCCACGCTGGACGACTCGTGCGACCTCTTCGCCCCCCTGGCCCTGGACGCGCTCAAGGAGCCGCCCCAGGCAGGGAGCCCGCTCGGCCCCCTCCCCGCGAGCCTGCCGCAGGTCGCCCCCTGCACCTTCCTGCAGCCCCTGCCCCTGTCGCTGGGGGTCGCGGCCGCCTCCCCGGATGAGTCGTTCAGCTTGGAGCTGGGCAGTGAGGTGGACATCGCGGACGGGGACCGGAAGCCCGAGTCGCCCGGCCTGGGCCCCGTGGTCCCGCAGGGCGTCAAGGAGGAGGACAGCCCCTCCGACAACGACAGCGGCGTCTGCATGAGCCCCGAGTCCTGCCCGGGCTCCCCGCAGCGCAGCCCCTCCGCCCCCACCCGCAGGGGCTCCCCGCACAGGGGCCCCCCCGCCCCGGCCCGCCCCAAGCCCTACGAGCCTGCGGCGGCCGCGGCGGCGCGCGTGAAGGGCGAGAAGCTGGAGAAGAAGCTCAAGAAGATGGAGCAGAACAAGACGGCCGCCACGCGCTACCGGCAGAAGAAGCGGGCGGAGCAGGAGGCGCTGGCGGGCGAGTGCCGGGGGCTGGAGGAGCGCAACGCGGCCCTGCGGGAGAGGGCCGACGGCCTGGCCAAGGAGATCCAGTACCTCAAGGACCTGCTGGAGGAGGTGCGGGCGGCCCGCGGCAGGAGGAGGGTCCCCGCCTAGGGCGCGCGCACAGGAGGCTCCGCTGTTAATAAATTATTTTGTAGTGAAAGCACTCCTGGGAGTTGTCCTGTGGCTCACACCCTCTGGGCGTGGTGGGGCGGGCAACAAGAGTCCCACGCGGGATGGTGGGATCTGGTCTGGGGCGGGCACTCCATGAGCCCGGAGGCTGCAACTTCCTTGTTCGGTGTTCCTGTGTGTGTGTGTGGGGGGGGGGTCACTTTGGCCCCAGCCTGCACACACACAGATCATGGGAGAGCTGTTTATTCGAAGGCAGAGTTGGAGACGGTCCTCCATCTGCTGGCTCACACACCCAATGGCCACGGCAGCCAGGGCTGGGCTGCAGCAGAAGCCTGGAGCTGACAGATGCAGGGGCCCAAGCACTCACCACAGCAGAGAGCTGGAGCAGCTGGGATCCGAACTGGCACCCACATGGGATTCTGGCACTGCAGGCTGCTTCACCTGCTATGCCCCAGCACTGGCCCTGAGCTGGGGGGCCAGACCCCGCTGTTCTGGGCCAGCAGTTAGGGACAGCCAGTCTGGGACCCATTGTCTGAGATTCCCCGAATCCTCCACGTGAGTCTCCCTTGTCTCAATCTCAGGGAGCCGCCCAGGGGTCCGCTGTGTGTTAGGAGGTTCTGGAACCACGCTGGCTTTTCCACTCCTTGGCCGTGTGACCTTGGAGTTTCCTTCTGTTTCTAGGTCAGATGTTTTCACACAGGGAAATACTAACAGCTGGGTCGCAGATCTGGGTCTCCCGTGTACCTCCTCCCCGGCACAAGCTGGCCAGAGGCAGGGTTGGCAGGGCCTGACCTGGCATCAGGACACCGGCCCACCTGACGGCACCTCCCAGCCAGCAAGGCTGCAGGAGCCGTTGGTGCCAGGCGCCAGGGCCGAGCGCCTCTGTAAGGACACGACCCCTTCTGCAGCGAGGCCGCGGCTCCAGTCCTCAGGGCAGAGGCCTCCACCGGTTGGAGGGCCTTAGTGCTTTGTGGTCAAGCCACGGCCACAACAAGGGGGTGTGGCCCGGATCCCCAACAGTGGGGAAGTTTCTCAGGTTCCAGGAAACCTGAACTCTTCCCTGAAATGGGGACTTGGGGGAGGGGCTCTAGGAGAGAGGGCGTCCAAGGTCCCCATTGGCTGGGGAGGGGGTGCTCGGTTCTTCTCTGGTTCACTGGGCCAGAGCCTGAGCCCCATGCGGGTCTCCCACTCCCCCAGGTGCGTTAGCAGGATTGGAAGCGAGCAGCTGGGATTTTTTTTCTAGTCCTTTCTCTGTGCCTCGTTTGGTTTTGTGACTGCTGGTTTTGCCACACACACCCAACACCGTGCCTGCTCAGCCTGAGGGACGAGGAGGGGACAGGGCCAGCAGCCCCAGAGGTGGCCCAGCACCCCGGGCCAGGGCCCCTCAGTGCAGTGGTGAGCTGTCATTTGGGAGCTGGGGAACGTGCCAGGGAGGGGGCACCCAGCTGCTCCTGGGCCCCGTGGGCCTGGGCCTGCTCCACACGGCCCCTCTGCACCCTGCTCAGCTCGTTCCCACCTCAGGGCCTGGGTACTTGCTGTTCCCAGGCAGAGGGTCCTGGCTCAGCATGTTCCCTCGGTGTCGGGGACTAGGCTGCAGGTGGCGGAGGCAGAGAGCGGCCTCCTCTGTCCCCCACGACTGTTCCTGCTGTGAGACTGGTGGGGACGCTGGGGTGCACCTGGCCCTGGGCTGCACCAGGAGGGGTGGCTGGAGGTCAGGAATCCCCCATGCTGGGGACCCCTGGAGGAGTGCCAGACACCCAGGTGGACAGGGCGGCAGGCGCTGGACTGATGTGGAGTCCAGGGCAAGCACCCCGCCCCAGCAGGACCCTGGGAGGCGGGGGCAGACACTGCTGGAGGCCCGGGTTCCAGCGGGCCTGCAGCCCACCCTGCTGGGGTCCCGCGGGGCAGTCCCATCCCACTCCTGCCCCCGCCCGCCCTTGGCCAGCTCCTCGGTGGCGCAAGCAGCCCAGCCCGGAAGTGGGACAGGAAGTCTGGCCGGGATCCTCTTGGTTGTGCTGTGGGTTCCTCAAACTCTGGCCCCAGACGTGCCAGCCTCTGGGGCTTTTACATCTACCCAGGGGTCTTGGTCAAGGGGGGGCCTCTTCCTGTTCTGTCCTTCCAGCCTTGGCTTGAGCGTGACAGAACAGCGACCCCTTGTCGGGCCAGCACCAGCCTCCTGGTCACCTGACAGAATCATCCACGGGGACTGGCCACCCCTGACCGGGACAGAGGCCCAGCTGCGACCTTGGCCACAGAGGGGCGTGGCCAGGCACCCCCCACCCCACCCCTGAGCCCCTGGCGCTACTTGGCGTCAGTGGGAGGGGAGACGCTGCAGGCCTCAGGAGCAGGACAGGGCTTGGACTGCTTGCCTCCTCCTGAGCGGGGAGGGGCCTGGGAACAGCAAGTGCCCCGGCCGCAGGTGTGTCCTTGGTCAGCCTGTTCTTCCGTGACGCAAATGCCCTGAGCAAGCGGCTGAGCCGGCTTCTTGCTAAGCTACTTAGCAAGTGGTGGGCCTCTGCTGACGGCCCTTGGGGTGCTCACACCCCAGCCCCGCTGCACCCAGCTTCTGCTAGGCGTACCGCAGGCGACGGCTCAAATACGCGGGCCCTCCCACTCTGTGGGAGACCCCGACCGAGATCCTGGCTCCTGGCTCCAGTGCCTCCCTCCTCTTCCTCCTCTCCAGCCGGCCCTGACCTCCTGGGCAGCTCGGGGCCCCTCCGTCCCGCTCATGGGATGAAAAGCTGGCTGGAGACCAGAGCAAAGCAGCGGAGGCGGCGTGGTGGGGCCTCTCACACAGGCAGCCTCCACTGCACCACTGCCGAGCCCGTCCTGGCCGGCGCTGGTGGGCTGTGCCACTCCCCACCCAACCCAGCCCCAGGACTCACGGATGCCCCTAGCAGAAGCCCAGAAGCCGGCACCCTGGGCCGAGGAGGACATGGGCCGCGGCCCAGGCCTCGGGTACGGGGCGCTGGCTGGAATGCCATGGTGACCACGGGGGAGCTGGGCCCTGGGAGGGTCGGGCGGCGCCTGCCTCTGGGGGTGAGGCCTGGCAGCTGCGGGGCGACCTTTGCTTCTAGGACCGCCACTCCCGGGCAGGAGGCATGGTGGGGGTCGGCGGGCCCTGGAGGACTCTGACCCGGAGCGGAGCAGCACCCAGTGCCAGACGGGAGGCAGCAGCACACACAAAGCTCCTGGGCCCACGTTTATCAAAACCCGGAAGCCCACCCAGACCGTCTTCCTGCTGTGGGAGGTGTGGCTGACAGTAAGTGGCCTCTCTCCACAGCAAACAGCCCAGGGCCTCCGGGCCAACGCAAACACAACAGAACCATCTTTGCAGCAGGCGCTGAGGGAGCGTCCACTCCAGTGCCGTGCACACCCCCCGGGGCTTCCACCTCACCAGCTCCACGCCACCCTCCCCGCGCTCCAGGCCCAGGGCTGCCCAGGGCCAGGTTGGTCCTCCATCGCCACCTCCTGGCCAAGCGGTGCCCAGCACGCCCAGCCGCAGTCCCCGGGTCGCAGGGAGCCTAGCTGCCGAAGTATTCCTGCTGGAACCTCTGGAAGTCCTCCTCCGTGAACACCGTGCCCTCCGCCTCCTTCTTCTTCTTGGTCTTGGCCACGGGCCGGTCACAGGCCTTGCGGCCCCGGTTCTGCCGCAGGATCTGGGAAGGGGGCAGAAGCCAGGCCGACACTGACCGGAGGTCCCGGGGGTATGCGCAGGGCGCAGGGCAGGCCGCACCACCTCCCCACCCGGCCTCCACCCCCAGTCCCCGTCCCCCGACACACCTGCCGGCTCATGGACTCGGCCACGGGGCTCCTGGCGCTGGTCATGAACTTCAGGTTTGCCTTGAGGTGGTCTCGACACTCTCGCTTCCGGTACTCGGCTGTGGTGGGGGCGGGGCAGCATTTCAGACCCACTCCCTGGAAGCCTTCTGTGCCGCGCCCACACAGACCCCTGCCCTGCGCCGGCAGGGAGGAGCCAGGGAGCAGCGTCTCACAGGGTGGCTGCGGGCCGGGGGCGTGGCGCGGGGCGGCAGGCCGCTGCTGGACTCCTGACCCAGCGTCCTGCAGGTGCTGACGGCTCTGGGCCAGGGGCCTCTGCCGCCCGTGGGGGAGACTCGGCCGGAGCTCCGGGCTCCTGGTTTCAGCGTGGCTCGCCCAGGCTGGTGGGCATTTGGGGAGTGAACGAGCAGATGGAGATCTCCGTCACCCTCTCAAATAATTACACAAATCCTAGCAGTGGGGCTGAACCGGGGAGGCCAGGGCTGGGCGGGCCTCATCAGCCAGCCTGCGACCTCTGGTTCCTACCGCACGGGAGCCCCGGGGTGCGGGCAGGAGGGGACAGCCTGATCTGACTTCTCACATCGCTTGGGTCGCTGCTGCGAACAAGATCGCGCGTGCGCGTGTGTGTGAGTGTGTGTGTGTGAGTGTGTGTGTGAGTGACGGGAGAGGGGTCAGAAGGCTTCTGCAGCCCTCCAGCACGCGGGGGCTCCCCCCCCCCCAGGGCGGCCCCCAGGCTCAGTCCAGGCCCGCCCAGCCGGTGCTGGAGGCCCAGGCCAAGTCCACCCGCAGGACGCCTGGCTGGCGTGGGGGGCAGTGAGGGAGGGGCCGGGGGCCGGGGGCGGGAGCAGGGCTGGGCGAGGGGCCGGCAGCACCGCTGGCACCTGGGGAGTGAGCGGTGTTTGCAGGACCCCTCCCCTCCCCCCTCCCTCCCTCCCTCCCTCCCTCCCTCCTTCTCTCTCTGCCTTTCAAATAAACGAATCTTTTTAAGGTCAAACACCTTCTTCAAAGGTTGACTTATTTGAGAGAATGACAGAGCAGGGAGAGACAGCGAGAAGACCATCCGTCTGCTGGCTGGCTCGCTCCCCAAACGGCTGCCGCAGCTGGGTTGAGCCGGGCGGAGCCAGGCGCCCGCACGCGGGTGCAGGACCCCTCCGCCGCTCCCCCGGGCCCGGCAGGGAGCGGGATCGGAAGCGGAGCAGCGGGCGCAGGCCCCCAGCCTCCTCCTGGCCCCTCTGCACGTGCCATTCCTTCCAGACCCTCCTCCGTCTCGCCCCGGGCTCGCCAGCACCCCCGGCCCTCGGCGTCCACTCTGAGCCCGTCTCGGACCACGGCCGTCGTCCCCTCCACGGGCCCCCCGCCGCGCCGGCCCGCCCCGAACTCACCCAGAGCCGACTTGGGCGCCTTCCCCTTGGCCGAGTTCCGCAGCCTCTGCGTCTGGGTCGCCTTCGCCTTCCGGGCCCGCTTGTCCGGGGCCCCGCTCGCCTGGGCCTGGCCGGCGGCGGCTCGGGGGGCTGGAAGGGAGGCGCGGATCGGACCTGGGTCGGAGGGCCGCCATCCCGCGGGCTAACCCCGGCCCGGGTCAGTCCCCACCTCCGGGACCCTGCCGCCCTCCCGCCCCAGCCAAGGCGGCCTCACCCTCGGACGCCGCCAGCAGCTCCAAGCCCCGCCGCAGCAGAGAGGCCGACATGACTACGGCCGACCCCGCCCACCTGCCGCACGCTACTTCCGTTTCGGCTGTTCCGGTCTCCTCCCCGGAAACCGGAGCCGTACCCGAGGGTTCCGGAGTGCCGGGCGGAAGTGCCCACGGCCTTAGAACGCATGCGTTAGGGCTTACCTCAGGCGCCGGGGGAAGGGCGGGAGCCGGGGGCGGGTCCAAGGCGAGGAGGGACACATTCGTCGTCCAATCCCATCCCAGCACTGCCGCGCGCGCGCCAGGCCACGCCTCCTCCCGGAAGCGGCCCAGATCAGGCGCAGGCTGTGTGTCGGTGCTCTCGTGGCTGCTGTCCTTAGTGGGCAGGTCCGGCGCGGGGCTGACTGTTGACATTCCCAGTTCTGAGGAAATAGGAAAATGTGGGGCCGAGTTTTTTCCCCATATTGTTGCAGAACTGCAAACCTGCGTCCCTTCCGCTAACGGGCCCCTCGCGGGCCGACGGCGAAGGGGCAAGGCCCGTGGGCTGGAGCTGTGGCGGGCGTGCGGGCTCGGCCGTGCTCCTTGGGGGTTGTCCGAGGGCAGAGGGGGTGGGTGGGCGCCGCGTCCCCGGGCGTCGAGTCCGGTCTTTACGGGGGAGACCCCGCTCCCTCGGTGCCGTGAGTTAAGTTGGCAGCACCTCGGCTTCCGCCGGCTTCCTCCAGGGCGACGGCGTGGCTTGGTGCAGAGTGTGGGACGGGGAGTGACCCGCGTGACCCCCAGGAGAGCCCCTCCTGCCCTGCCCTCCGTCAGCTGCTTGGGGGTGGGGGGAGGCAGCAGACAGCCGCGGGGCTGCCCCCTCGCCTCCCGGCCCTGGGGAGCAGGTACGCAGGCAGGAACGGAGGTGCTGCCCGGGCTGCGAATCTAGACCGAGCCCGGGGCCGGCGTTGGGGTGCGCGGGTCACGCTGCCGCTGGCGACACCAGCATCCCAGAGTGGTCCCGGCTGCCCCGCTCCGGATCCAGCGCCCTGTAATGCCCCTGGGAGGGCAGCGGAGGATGGCCCAAGTGCTTGGGCCCCTGTGGGAGACCCCGATGGAGCTCCTGGCTTTGGCCTGGCTGTTGCAGCCATTTGGGGGTGAACCAGGAGATGGGAGAGCTCTGTCTTCCTCTCTCTGTCACTCTGCCTTTCAAGTCAATAAAATAAATCTTAGCAAGAGAAAGAGAGAACCTGGCCTCAGCAGGTGTGAGGCCCTCCCTCCAGCCACCCAGGGGAGCGGCCCAGAGGTGCAGGGTGGGACGGAGGTGTGAACCAGGCCTGGAGTGACCCCAAAGGAGAAGCAAGGGTTAGGGGGGTCCTGGCCCCGGTGACGTGGGCAGACGGGTGCCTGCGTCCGGCTTCTGACGTGGCCAGGTGGTTTCTCACAGCGCTTGCCCCCCCACGCCCACGTCGCCCCGCGGGGCTGGGATCCGTGTTTTGATCACTGTTACACTCGGTGCCTGCAGCAGCACCTGGCACGGGGTGAGCTCCGCCGACTGGGAGGGTTTGGGACGCCTTGGGGAGCCGGCCCAGCTCTGAGCAGCAGGTGGGGGGACACGGGCGCTGTGCTGCAGGAAGGCAGAGGCCCGAGCTCCGTCCTCCTGGCCCGGGTCAGGCGGCGCGCAGGCCCCAGGTGCAGGAACTCTGTGTTCCGACGTTCCCGGTGCAGGGCGCCTGGGACGGGGGCTCCCTGTGCGGGCTCCCAGCAGAACGGCAGATGGGGGGATCTGCGGCTCAGCGGGCCGGTCGCTCTCTCCGCCACTAGGTGTCGCTGTAGGACGCCTTTCTCCCGATTCACATGGTCGCCCAGATTGGGTGTGGGGGTGAGGTCCAGATGCCTCTGGCCTTGGCTGGCTCTGTGCTGTCCCTGCCCCGAGGCTTTCCATGATGGGGGAGGGAGCTGGAGTGGACGGGGAAACTGAGGCAGGACTTGGGGCATCTTCTACTGCTTTCCCAGGCCATAGTAGAGAGCTGGATCAGAAGTGGAGCAGTGGCGTCTTGAACCGGCACCCATATGGGATGCCAGTGCTTCAGGCTAGAGTGTTAACCCACTGCGCCAAGGTGCCGGCCCCCCATTCAGCCTTTGCTGTTTGACCTGGAGCATCTGAGCTGCCCGGGGTAGGGGGGGGGCACCTGCTCTGAGAGGCTGCGTGGGAGGCGCTCAGCTCTGTACCCCACACATTGTCACCAGTCCAGCCAAGCCCACAGCCGGGCCCTACCTTGCTGTGTGCCCATGGTCACTCCCGTGTCCTCTCCAGGGTGAGAAGGGGAGGTGTCCAGGGCTACCAAAGTGCTAAGGGGCTAAGGGAGGAAGGGGTGGGCGTGGGAGACCCCTGGAGGACTCGGGGCCCTCAGCGAGCCAACACCCCTGCTCTCAGCGAACTCGTGCCCAAAGGATTTCCTGGGGCCCTTGGCAGAGTGGATGGAGCCCTCTCGGGGGTCCTGACCTCCTGTGGAGCTGCACTGGGTCTCAGACACCCCTGCAGAGAGAGGCAGGGGCGCAGGGGAGGGGCAGGGAGCAAGTGTCACTCATGGCTCTGGGGGCGGGGAGTGGGCTCTAGGGCCTTGGTGGGGGGGTCTGGGATCCTGGCTTTCGTGGGCGTGGTGGAGGGCTGGAGGGTTCTGTCCCAGCCTCAGCCCCTTAATTTTTTTTTTTTTTTTGTAAATTAATTTATTTGAAAGGCAGAGTTAGAGAGAGAGAGAGAGATTGCCATCCGTTGGTTCACACCCCAAGTGGCCGCAATGGCCGAAGCCAGGAGCCAGGCGCTTCTTCCGGGTCTCCCATGCGGGTACAGGGGTCCAAGGACTTGGGCCATCTTCCTCTTTCCCTAGGCCACAGCAGAGAGCTGGATCGGAAGTGCAGCAGCCAGGACTTTACCAGCTACACCACTGCGCCGGCCCCCTCAGCCCTTTAATTCTAATTACATCTTCATTAAAATGCAAATTCCCAGGGAAAGCGGGCCTTGGAGGCCCCGTTGTCATGGTAACTGGAGTCTGGGGTGGGGAGGGGGGCTGGTCTGCAGCGTCTGATGCTTCCAGACCCGCAGGGGCCGACCAGAGGGCCCTCTCCTGCCTGACTCCCAGCTGAGGCTGGGTCTTCAGGGGCTGGGTAAAGTGCTCTGATGACGTTCCTACTTGCCTCAGTTTCCCCATCTGTGAACTGGGGATCACGGGGCCTCTCCTGACTCCTGGGGACTCAGCAGGCTGGCACTGGGCCGTCAAGGAGGGGCCTGCCCTCTGGGGGCCGTCTGGGGTCCTCGCTGGAGCCAGGTCTCTTCTGCTCTGGAGTTGGGTCCCCTGCCCCACGTCTGGACTGGAAACAAAGGGCGTGTGAGAGGCCCGCGGGCTCCGCTCTTTTTTTTTTTTTTTTTTTTTTAAGATTTATTTACTTGAAAGTCAGAGTTGCACAGAGAGAGAAGGAGAGGCAGAGAGAAAGAGAGAGTGGGGGGGTCTTCTATCCACTGGTTCACTCCCCAGTTGGCCGCAATGGCTGGAGCTGCGCTGATCCGAAGCCAGGAGCCAGGAGCTTCCTTTGGGTCTCCCACATGGGTGCAGGGGCCCAAAGACTTGAACCATCTTCCACTGCTATCCCAGGCCATAGCAGAGAGCAGGATGGGAAGTGGGGCAGCCGGGGCTCGAACTGGTGCCCCAATGGGATGCCGGCAGGGCAGGCGGTGGCTTCACCTGCTGCGCCACAGCGCCGGCCCCCGGCTCCACTCCTAGGCTGACGTTTCTCTCCCACTCTCCTGTAGCCATGCACTCTCTGCGGTTCTTTCCTTGCAAGGCATTCTGGATATTTCAAAAGCTAGAGGGAGGGGGGTCTTTCTGCCCCAGTGGGTCTAGAAACAAGGGAGGATAAAGAGGAGACGCGTGTGGAAGGGAATGGGAGCTGGCAAAGGAACCAGGGAGAGACGAACACGTGGAGAAAGTAGGATGTGCTTCCAAAAGCCCATGGGAAAACTGACTCAGCGATACCTTCATTTTGTAGAAAGAGTTTCAAAGCCCAAGCGTAGTTTTCTCATAATATGCATTTCCCGGCCGGCGCCGCGGCTCACTAGGCTAATCCTCCACCTAGCGGCGCCGGCACACCGGGTTCTAGTCCCGGTCGGGGCGCCGGATTCTGTCCCGGTTGCCCCTCTTCCAGGCCAGCCCTCTGCTGTGGCCAGGGAGTGCAATGGAGGATGGCCCAGGTGCTTGGGCCCTGCACCCCATGGGAGACCAGGAAAAGCACCTGGCTCCTGGCTCCTGCCATCGGATCAGCGCAGTGCGCCGGCCGCAGCGCGCCGGCCGCGGCGGCCATTGGAGGGTGAACCAACGGCAAAAGGAAGACCTTTCTCTCTGTCTCTCTCTCTCACTGTCCACTCTGCCTGTCAAAAAAAAAAAAATAAAAAAAAATAAAAAAAAAATATGCATTTCCCATAACTTTTGGAAGACCCCCTCTGTAGTTATTTGCCTTTTTGCCTCTGCTACTAGGAAGCTCAAACTGAAATTTATTTTCAACTGTCATAGTTTATTACGAGGTTGTATTACTATATTAGTCAATGGTAATAAATGTTCACTTCAACTTCTTATACGTCTAGCTCACTATTCCCTGAGTGACTCCTGATTTTTATTTTAAGAGCTCTCCTTTGGAAGTAGTTGAGGGTATAAATTATAAATTAGCAATTATGACAGAGAGAGAGCAGGGAGAATGTGGGGTGGGGGGGCCTCGGCCGGTCCCTGCAAACCTTTCCGACTCTAAGCCCAGTGGCTGTGAGAGCCAGAGCGGAGAGCTGGGTGCTAAAATGTTTCTGCTGCTTGGCTTTGCGTCCCTAATGCTGCACTGGTGAGAAAGCGGCCCAGCCAGAACCAGGGCGGGGCTGCCTAATGGGCCAGTCTGGGAGGAGATTGTTCCAGAACAGGGCGGGGCCTGCGGACCTCAGCCAGGCTGGAGGTCACAGCACCTCCCACACCGCTGATGCAGCCTCCTGGGCGGAATGTGGGGACAGCGCGGTCCTGGCCAGGGCCCTAGAGGCATCCCCAGCTCAGGGCCTTGTGCTGTGGGGAGCAGGGAGCAGCCCAGCCTGGCTGGACCATGAGGAAGTGAATGATGAACCACGGTGGCCCAGAGCT